TAAAGGGCCTATGACATCGAAATGCAAGTATATTCCTGTTAGTGTGCAGTCCTGCATACATCTCATATTTTGATATGTAAACTTCTGAATTTGTTTCCTAGATTTGTAAATTTATTTTTTTATATTTGTTTTTCAAACTTGCTAATATAAGCTCAACCCTAAAAACCTCCAGATCTCATTCCCCTTGTGACATCATCTGTCAGTCATCAATGAGCTAACTAGAGAAAGTGGCATGTAACTTTGCCAAAGATGACCACCTGTTACAATACCACAAACAATAGCAACATATAAGTTGATATGTCAGACATGTCAGACTAAACTAATATTCTAGAATAGACAATGGTATGTAATTTCCCCCAGCTTAGCACATGTTCATAATAGAATTGGATGCTTCCATACATATGTAAAATACATCATCATTGCCTTTGTCTTCCTGGTGATGCTATAGCATGTCTGACCTAGCAAGTTATATTTCTAATTGCTAATTTCTAATTTCTAATTGAATTGCAGGTTTTAGGACTGTGAATTTTCCACTCCTCGCACTTAATAAGGGGCATGCACTCACCATCAGAGATAAAAAGGGCCTGGCCCCCCCACTCAGGTTTCAAAATGACCGCATGCGTGTTGCCAAAATGTCCTTTTCGTAACAAAAGAAAAAGGTCGAGCCGTATTGACTTTACACACCGGACTTTTGCTGAAAAGGGGGGGGGGGGGGGATGCTGAAAAAAGCTCGTATACAAAAGAAAAAGGTCGAGCCGTATTGACTTTACACACCGGACTTTTGCTGAAAAGGGGGGGGGGGGGTCGGTTGGAACACGCATATGCGTACCCTAACTAAGGGGGAGCAGCAAAGTTGTAAAGCAGACGATTTTGGTGATATGAAATGTATTATTACGGATTCGCACACACCCATGACCTTATAAAACAATTAGAAGGCCATGATCTTTATAAGCCCTGTGCGTTGTAACTCTGGAATATTATGAGGAAATAGGGGGAAACGGGATTTTAAATCGCAACCAATCCAACTCTAAACTCTATCTAGTATATCAACATGTTTTTCAAAATAAAATACAGTACACGGAACAACAATTTCCGATTATAAGCCAGAACTGCACATCGATTTTCCATGATTTAGGCGAGTAATTATCTTCTGCGCATGTAGATTAACATGTGTAAAATTACTATCTTGATTCTGTCCCGGCCTTTTTGCGATGACCATCATGAGATCAAAGTGAAGAAACATGTACAGAATGTTATTGAGACGACATTGACGGAGACAATCACAATGAATTCGTTAAGAAAACGATGAATGTCCATCCGTAATAGGTCCATGGTTTGCGGAAGCCGGATATCCAGAAGAATAACTTTCACATCGTAATTATACTGATTATAATTTTAATGATTTACACATCTATCTAATCTGTCCATATAGTGTAGCAATTCCGACCCATCTGTGACAATAATAAACGATGTGCATGAGACTAATTTCGTTCGGTATAATTTGCATATAATTATGCGCAGATTGAAAAAAAAATGACTCACAGTTTGTCTTCTGCGCACCTGTACAACTTAATGGAGTGTTTTTACCCAGATTCCGGCGATAAAAGTACGTATTTTTTTTAACAAATTAGGCTTTTACGATCGCTTATGCGGAACTGATTTTATGATTTTGCAACCTGCTGAACCCGGAAACTTTGCCGAAATGTTTGACGATGCCTCCGTGTTGTTACATCTTACATTGCTATTTTTTCGCGTTTTTTTTGGCTGAGTTAGGTTCGCTTAATCGCGCTGTTATGTAGGTAAATGTGGTCTTGCATTTTGCAGGGGGAAAAATGAGTTTTTTGCGGGGTCCTTGCCCTCGGTTGGTTTCTTGCTATTTCTTTTAAACAAACTTTTTCCAAAAAAGGGGACTTGGGCCAGACAACTATCCTAGGGGGTAGTTATCCGGGAGGTAGTTGTCCGGGTGGTAGTTGTTCGGGTGGTAGTTGTCCGGAGGTAGTTGTCCTAGGGGTAGTTGTCCGGGGGTAGTTGTCAAAGTGGGTAGTTGTCCTATGGGAAAGTCGTCCTAAAGGGTGGTAGCCCTAGGGGGTAGTTGTCATATGGGGTAGTCGACTGGGGTGGTTATCCGGGGAGGATGTCCAGGGGTTAGGTGTCCGGATACGCCTGAAGCTGAGTCCTGACATACTTTTGGACGCTGTAACTTGTACGCCCTATAGTGTAAAGCAATCATCGGCATTTAAAAAAAAATCTTATAGACCTAAAACAAGAATTAGGGCTAGTTCTGACCTGAAAACGAACCAAATCTCGGAGCATGGCTAGCTGAACCGCGGGGCCTTGGCCTATATACGGATAATTGAGTGCCCTGTGTCCACTTCTAACTCATTTGTTAGCCCTTCGTTCTTCGCTTTTCCTTTCCTTTCCTTTCCTTTTGCTGTTGCTTGCTTGTCATTATTAAGAATGTGACTGTGCTCAATGATTTAGGATTTGTGTCAAATCGGTGCGTGCAGACTGGTTTCCTTGAGTGGATTACATGACCATGACGTCATCACACTGGTTCATGTTTCATTATAATAACTATATCGTAAGGAATAACGAAAGATCCATGTGTTTCAGCTATAACAAAATTTGTTATTCTTTTCTTTTTTCTTGTGCCAAAATATTGTGGCTTGCAGTCGTGTAGTAACCAAAATAAGAGCAGGGGTCTCACAGAGTCCTACCTTCCACCTTTCTCTCATCCTTTCACTGGTAAGATAATATTCACTAAGGAATATAAACAATTTTAACCCTTTGTTTTGCACGTGAGAATGTACATACTTGATCCGTGAAATGATTTGTAGAATTAATTCCCTGTTGCTTTCAAATGAAATCATCAGGAAGTATGTTTAGCCAGGATATCGCGTGGTTTCCTCTTATATTATGACCTAGGATGTCATAACCTGGTCTGTGCTGATGCTGTGTTTAATTTTGATGTTTAAGCTATGATATTCCACTTTTGGGAATGAAAAATAAACATTTAAAACGATACTTCACCGGAAAAGTTTGGGTGCAAAATAAGTTGAATCCATCTATGCCACGTATGTTTTTTACTGGAGGTTTCGATCAATAAAAAATGAACAAAAAAGAAAGAAAAATTAAAGTAGCCATAAGTAAGAAAGAAAAAAGAGCGAGAAAAGAAAGGAAATGAAAGTAAGCATGAAAGATTGAAAGAAAGAAAGAAAACTGAAATTATTTAGTAAGAAAGAAAAAAAAAAGGAAAGAGTTAGAAGTAAGAAAGAAAGAAAAAAGGAAAGAGTTAGAAGTAAGAAATAAAGAGAAGAAATTAAAATATATTATAAAGAAAGAGAGAAATAAAATTAGAGCTTCCCTTTTTTTCAAGTACCCTAAAATCGCCCTTTTTACTTAGGGAAAATGTTCTAACTAATAGGCGCCCCTCCCTCTTTGTCATGAATGTCCCTTTTAACCTCTGATAAGTGTCCCTATCCTAATCTGACAGGTGTTCCTTGTAGTAAGTGTATTTTTCCCTTTTAAAGATAAAGATCAGTTCTGGTCATGCGATTGCATGGTGAATGAAACGTAGAGAATATGAAATATTTGAACTAAATTATTCCTTTACAGTAACATTGATACGTATTCTACTTGTTCAACTGCAATGGCGTTCTCTTAGGATATACAATACATTCCCTTTTTAATAGACTTTTCTATACATATATATATTATATATATATACTGTATACATGTATACATCCTTTCTAATATAGGTGTCTTAATTAAAATACATGTGCATTAATGCTGGGCACCTGATCAAGAAATCATTTTAGTAGACCAACTAAACATAAAAAAGAGCATCGAGACAAAGTTTCTATGTCATTTTATTGGAAATGCATGCAGGGTCTGCAATTTTCCGCGAAATACTCATATGCGTACCAATGATATTGTAAAATGGGTTATAAGCGATCAAGGCACTAATGGCTCTATCTCTCATCACACTAAATTCCATCTTTCAATAAGACTAAAAAAAAAATCTTATTTGTTACTTTTGAATAACTTCGTATATTTCTTAGTACTTAAATCGCCTGTTTGAACATTTTATTCAAACTTAAAAGACCTGAATTCAAGAAATGTTCTCCTGTTGGCTACTTATGAGCTCTCAATCTCATCGCATTACATACATGGGTGAAAACCATATCATTCTGAATAGGTTGGTTTGTTAATGTTATAAAAACAATATGATGTGTGCTGAATTAGGAACCAATGACATAACGGACCTAGACTAAGATCGACTTTAAGTTTGACTTAACTATGACAGGCCACCCAAGCCCCTGGTTGTTCTCACTATTGGTTTCTCAATTATGATCTTTAGGTAATATTTTTCCATCAACAATGAACTATAAAAAAATGTAAATTCTGTAGATTTGTGACCACGATTTATACGTCCGTTCAGAGACCAATGCCAGTATAATTATGGTAAGAGCAAACAGTGGCAAGAACAGCTTGCCATAGTTAAGTCCAACTTAAAGTCGATCTTAGTCTTTGTGAAACACCCCCAGGCTGGTTAACAGCCCAACGGTCCACCAATGAGGTATTGGAGCCACATGTGATTCTATACGCAGCTTTCATTGCAAGGGATTTCGTCTTTATGGACGATAATGCTCGAGCACACCTTGCCCAAATCAGCAACCAATACTTTGAAGATAACGGGCTCGAGCGCATGGAGTAGCAATCAAGAAACTCCTGCATGTAATCACATCGAACAGCTTTGGGACGACATCAAGGGAACAGTCCAGAATAGAGTCAAAAAATATATTCTTTCATGAAATTCTGAAGGCTAAATATGTACTTGCGTGTTTACATAATAAAGCTTTGATTGGATTGAAAGGAGGCCGTCGTTTGACTAATGTCAAGTGTGAGAGATAGTCTAACAGTCATTACCATTCTGTGACCAGTGCAGATTTAACAATTGGAAATGTATAACGGTGGACTAATGCTTAACATATATGTACCTTGTAATTGGTCTGTCATCTTTAGGGGGTCCAGTCATCTCTTCAGTTTCCTTGGAAAGATTCGTTCCCATCGTGAAGGTATCCAGGCTGAGAAGAAATGTCAACATAAAAATAGCGATAAATAAATGATACACCGATCGAACCTCCCTTTTTTTCACAGCAGGTGTCGAACATCGTCAATAAGTACTATCAAAAGATCATTCGCATGAAATTGTAAAAAAATAATAACCTGAACTAATGTCAAAAGTGATATTTGCTGGTCTAACTCAGTCATTAGCATTCTGTGACCAGTGCAAATTTAACAATTAGAAATGTATAACGGTGGACTAATGCTTAACATATCTGTACCTTGTACTTGGTCTGTCATCTTTAGGGGGCCCAGTCATCTCTTCAGTTTCTTTGGAAAGATTCTTTCCCATCGTGAAGGTATCCAGGCTGAGGAGAAAAAGAGACAAATAAATGATAAATAATCACAAACATGGGGTCCACCATATGGCGGTTCAAGATTGGCCTTGGGGGCACCAGTCCTACAAATTGACCGGTTCACTAACAAAAATTAAAAAATCTTTCCTGGGGGCCCTGGTGATGAGTTATTCCATTAACCTGTTATTAATAAATGAACTACAGTATTTAGAATCAATTCTGCTTAACCTGTGTGCTGTTATGTCGAGCCAACCTCGGGTAAGCTTCCGCAAGAATATTCTTTGTTTACAAAGTATGCATACAATATGAATATATTACAGAACCGGTCTATTCCTAAAGAATTTCATTTGTTGGAGACTTGTTAACTCTCACTGCGCCTGTCACATAAATATATATGTGACAGACAGTTGAGGTCCTTTCAAACACACATTGCTTCACCAAAAAACGTATAATTATGGTGGTCAATTTGTATCAATTTTAAAGATAAGTTGAGTTCTGGTCATGCGATTGCATTGTGAAAGAATCGCTGTGGAATCGATCCGCAATTTTTTTTCATCCAGCATATAAGTATTGGTGTGTAATGCGAGGTTCAGGAATCATCAAAATGATAAGAAATTTGGCCCAGTCTTGGTAAAGATACAAGCACTGTTCACAGAAAGAGGTATATGAGACTACACGAACATGTGGCATTAAAATCCGTCCCGATTTTTATGATGTTACATGCCATTTTTAGAATATTAAGGCATTTGATGAGCAATGCTTTTCAGGGAACATTTTTTATCTGATGTTCATACACACTTGCATAATACAACAATAACGCTCACATATTATTTTTCAACTCTTCCCAGAACTCAACCTTGACAATGGGAAACGAATGAGGAATGATTTTTCTTTGGGGTATGAGAGGTCCCGGGTTCCAATCCCGAAAAGGCCTCCATAATTATGGCGATTTGGATTTCATGATTTAAGTGATCATTTATCACAGGCTACGAACACTCACAAATGAAAAAATATTAAAATATATACATATATATATATATATATATACATATGTGTAAATGTAACATAATTATATACCCGCACGTGCGGTCCATACTTTAATTCTGCATGTAATTCCTTATATATTTTGCCTTTCATGTCCGTACCTCTCCTATCTTACATTTGTATATCAATCATGTATTGCATCTTTTGCGCAAGTTACGCCTTGAGCATTTGATTGTCAAGTGGATTTGGCGTCTTACAAATCTTATGTTTTTTTATTATTGTTATTATACTGGGACGACACATTTTACCAAGGCTATTTATGCGCATGTATTAGAATTAGATGCGCTTTTTCATGGAAAAGAAAAGAATGTCCAGTCACATAGAATGTTACTTTAGAGAAAAGGTGATTGAAGTTCGGAGTCTAGTCTTCTAAAGTCAAGTGCAAGGGGGGAGAAAAGAAAAGGAAATTGAAATTATATAGACAAATCTGTAAAGGTATTATCAGATTTTGCTCAAACTCAGCAGGCTAATTACGCCCATTCTGCCCTTTATCCTATCAAGGAATCAGTGCATATGCTTAGTCTATAGGTTTATAGTGATTGGATATCAACATGAACAAGGGTGGTAAGTAAAAACAACTACACAAATCTCAAAATCAGAAGAAAAAAAAGGTACTGCCTAAATCCCACTTTTAAATTGTTTTGTACTTTGAAATTTTGAAATCACATAGAAAACATTATACTTTTCTTGGAAATGATATGTGATAAATGATCATACTCATTCATTAGCATTCTGTGACCAGTGCAATTTCAACAATTATACATGTGTAACGGTGGACTTATGCTAAACATATCTGTACCTTGAACTTGGTCTGTCATCCTTCGGGGGTTCAGTGATCTGTTTAGTCTTTTTAGAAAGTGTCTTTCCCATCGTGAAGGTGTCCAGGCTGAGGAGAAATAGAGATACATAAATAATACATAGTCACAAACATGGAGTCAACCATATGGCGGTTCAATATTTTCCTGAGGCACAATTCCTAAAAATTGCTTGGTTAACTAACAAAAATTAAATGTTATACATGTACATGTTTCTCTCCTGGGGACCTAGTGATGAGTTATTCCATTAACGTGTTATTAATGAATGAACTACAGTACTGAATCAAGTCTGCTTGAATTATGTGTTGCTTTGTCAGGCCAGCCTCGGGCATGCTTTCAGGTTGTCAAGAACAACCTTTGTGTATAAAAAAATGCATACAATTTGAATATGTTAATAAACCTGTCTATTCTTGACGAATTTCATTTTTTAGAGACTTGTTATAAACTCTCACTGTGCCTGTCACGTAAATATATGTGTCAAACAGTCGAGGTGCTTTCATACACACATTGCTTCCTCAATGAAAACGTACATGGCGGTCAATTTATATCACTGTTTAGAGCATAAGTCAAGTATTCTAGAGATTTTTGAGAAAGTAGCAAATCATGTACAAGATCTTGGAAAATGGAAAACGAATGCAGAATGATTCTTGTTTGGGGTATGAGAGATCCCGCGTTCCGATCCCGGATAGGCCTCCATCATTATGGCGATAGGGGTTTCATGATTTAAGTGATCATTTATTACTGACTTCAAACACTCAAGAACGAAATTAAAAACTATATACATCAAGTTATGTTTTACATATATATATATATAATATATATAAACACAATTATATACCTGCATTTATATGCCATGATTTGTGTTTGTTAATGATCTTCGTTGTGTGCATGCGTACGCAATTAGCATAATCATCATAAAGAAGTAAATTCTCCACACGGTTATATATGCAACTAAAGACATTCCTTGAGAGAATTTCACATTTTGTACAGGATCTTTTCCAATTGTAGCATTTAACAATGGTCAGCAATAATGAACATAAACGTAAAGGATAACTAGAAATGCAATCGTGTCAGAACGATGTGCGTGCAATGACGCCGTGTTTCTACGTGTCAAACGAAAGAGCTTCTCTCGGACTATCCAGATTTGCACGAAGTCTGTAGCTTCTGTGATATTGGAGATAGGTAGGGCGAAAGAAAGGCATCAACAGTGACCTTGATGCCTACGAAGTTTGAAAGAAATTGGGATAGGGGAAAGAACCTAGAAAGGGCTCGCAAGCACTGCGTGCACAAACCAATGGGATTTGGTGCATGTTTGACATTGCAATCAAGTTCGTTCTGGGGGCCAAAAGCGTGAACCCGATATGCCCCATAGACAATGCGTGTAATGAATGGGCGGAAAACGTGCAGGATCTGTATTATGGCCGGAGTTAAATTGTTTTTTCTCTCTCTCTTTACGTCTCTTTATGGGCCGTATTTGGTATCATTAGAAAGAGAATTTCATGGTTGTTATTGTAAACCACTCTCTTTTTTTCTATGATAATCCTATCGAAACACGTGATGTAAAATAAATGTATAGGACAAAATGGCGTCTTAAATGGCCCCCTTGACCAATTTCAAAAATCCGGCCAAGAGGTGCCCTGCGTATTGGAACTCGGCATGTCACTGCAAATTTTCAAGGAAAAAAAAGGACGTTTAAGGGGCGAAAAGCAGTCTGAAAAAATGACGTCATAGCCGATACGTGTTAGATTCGGGCGGAAACTCGGCGGAATTCGTGTAGTGACCTTTGTTCAAATACGATTTACTCACAATTTTCTGTGTGAACATATAGTATACTTGGTATCATTCGAAAGGGCACTTCATTGCGGTCAGTTTGACACCATTGTTATCTGCGCGCAATGTATTGCACGCATTAAACGCGCTATTACGTAATGCATAGTAAATTCATCATTTTGGGCGATAACTTTGCGCTGACATATTCGAATTTTACCAAACTTGGCAAACAGTTGTCACGTATATGGATACATATATCCGCCAAGTTTCACTGATATAGGTATAAAGATCGCCATTTTAGAGCAAGTTGAAGTTATTTTCGAATTTTCTCGAAAATGGCAATTTTGGAGGGCATTTTTCTCAAATTTGGTCAGTGTTAGGGTATATAATTTTGTATATGGCTGGAAAGGGCATATCTTCAAGTATCTAAATCCAAAAAAGGGTACGGGTTTGCCAAGCCATTATGGAGATACGGCCACAGAGAGAAAGCCAATTCCCAGAACTTTAGAGGGCGCTATTTATGTTGTGCAAAGCCATTGGAGCGTGAAATTTGGCATGGCTATGTGCAATTATGAGATAAAGATAATGTGAGATTAAAACACAAAACGGAATTTATATGAGAAAGTTATGGCAGTTTTAGATTTTTAGGGGTCCATTTTTCAAGAATTTGAGAGATTTTTGACGGAGTCAGTTTCAGATTTGAATTTTGAGTACGAAGATGGCATTTTGAAGGTCAGGTCATACGTCGCAGATGAAAGAACATCTATTAGACTATCTAGAGGAATTTGTTAGAAGTTTGTAGGATCTAGGATAGTGGAGATAGGAAGGAAGACAGAAAGGCCTTAAAATGGACCAAAAACGGATAAAATGGCGCCTGGACGGTTATGCATGAGTGATTTCGAAAATCAAAGAATGTAGTGACCTTGATGAGATGTTAGAGACCATGCCTATGAAATTTGAAAGAAAAAGGACATGAGGAAAGCACCGAACCAGGAATAACAAACACTACGTGCAAAACGAATGCGATTTTCTGACGATAAGGAACAGGAAAAGGAGGAAAAGGAGAATATTAATGGGGCAGAATGTGAACGAAAACAAGGCAATGACGAAGGTCGTCATTGCAATTACAAAGGAAACTCATCCATATTTTAACAATAATGTTCATTCGTATAACCAGGGACATGATCATGTCCCTGGTATAACTAACTCTTGGTATCAAAAGGAAACGTTATGACGTTCCTATATTACGTTGGCACACAACATTGCTTGTGTTTTGGTAAATTCTTGAAACAAGCGAAAGCCCTTGGCACCGTAAGAGTTGAACGAACTTTAGAACGAAAAAAAACAAAAACAACCTCTTTCAATGTTCTTTATTTGTAAGGCTAAATTCTACATGACCGACAATGTCGGTGCTGTGTGCCATGCGCCAACTTTCTTTAGGGTTTGCTAGATTGACATTTTCCTGCAATTCCTTATGTTTTTTGTGTTTTGTGTTGGTCTTGTGCACTGTCAGTCTATATACTGGGATGACACATTTTACGAAGGATATTTATGCGCATTTATCAGAATTGAATGTGCTCTTTCATATATATTTGTAAAGATATTAAACACCTTATATGCGCTCTCCTCGGTCGCCTCGTGAGAAATAAATATGACAAAGATGATGCTTACTATTAATTTGAAAACTCACTAATAAAACACTGGGGACGAACTAACAAACACACACACTCGCACACGCACACACTCGCAAACACGCACCGATACAAAGTCTTCTGCTGAAATGCTCAATACAGTAGGTGAATAAAACATCGTATAATATTGCTTAACTTCGGGTAGTAAAGGGATTGAAATATTCATTATAAAAGGAATGACAAAATTTCGATAGTACTAGAAAAGACAAGAAGGAAATCATTCGTTACGCTGGTCACGCACACCAGGTCTATATACAACAAAAAAAACCTAGTGAGTATTGGTGATATCGCGTTCAAACACTGTTAATAGCGGAAACGATTCTAAAGAGTACAATTTCAATGGAAACTACGGAAATGTGAAATCCAGGCATATCCAAATTTGGGCATATTTCTCCGTTCTGCTTTGATGCTAACATGGAAAAGAATACAAGAAGAATCCGATATTACTTCAGAGCTGAAAGTAATTCTAGTTACTATTTTTCTGTTAATAACACTTTTAATGAAAAGAGGAAAATTATATTAACGCTCCTCTATCCCAATGTAGAAAATTACAGATTATGATAATTTATTTCTTGATATAAAGAAGGGCCTGTTTACCATAGTCTAAACACCATAGGCGCCGGAAGTGAGGGGGGGGGGGGGGGGTAAAACGCATTTTTGCCCCCCCCCCCCGAAAAAAAAAAACGCCCCCCCTCAAAAAAAAAAAAAGTAGTAAAGGAGTACATAATTATGGTGTGTATTTTTAAACCCAAAGAACATAACAATAATAAAAACCTGAATTAAATAACATATACAATTCCATTCAAAGAAAAGGAAAGTTAACAGGACTTAAATTTCCTAAACATTGCGCATGCCACCTATATTTATCGATGGAGGTTTTTATAATAGCGATACGCGCATATCGTGGACATATTGTGAGAGAATGGGAAAGCGTGTTTTTTTTTGTTATAGGGGTGAGAAGACATGAGCCCCTGAACAGTGGCGTACTGATGGGGGGGGGGGGGGGTCTTTCCTTTTTATGCGTTTGTTGGAAAATTAGAAATTCCCAAATTTACAGTCAGGCGAAAAAATATGCTTATTTAGAAGCCTTTATGTTATGGTTTGCAATACGGCTGGACCCGGGGGCTCGAGCCCCCCTCTCACTTTTTGAAAAAATATATTACAGAGAAAAAGAAAGAAAGAGGGAGAGAAAAAATAAGTGACCTGCCAATGTCACAAATGTGGTATCAAAATATGCTCATCTAACCATAGTTAAATATCAAAAACCCTGAGCTTCCAGGGGCTCTGCTCCCTAGACTCTCCGCCAGTTAGTGACCTGCCAGTGTTACATATAAGGTATCTAAATATGCTTATCTGACCGTAATTAAATACCTAAAACCCCTGAGCTTCCGGGGGCTCTGCTCCCTGGACTCTCCGCCAGTTAGTGACCTGCCAGTGTTACATATAAGGTATCTAAATATGCTTATCTGACCGTAATTTAATGTGTAAAAAACCCGAGCTTCCGGGGGCTCAGCCCCTTGACCCCTGGCGAGGCTCAGGCCCTGGACCCAACGCCCATTTACGCTCTATACCTGATCGTTAATACTCCACTTTGAAAAACGTTCCACGGGGCCTGCATGCAAC